TCTTGGCTGCCATTGGGCATAGGGGCATCAGTTTAATAGTACCACATAGGGACGCATAAATCATAAGGACATCCCTGTGGGGGTTTCCCATGACCCTGAGACTGTTGTGGCTGGAACCGCTTGAAGGCAGGGCTGGGAACACAGGGTGTGTCTAAACTACATGGCTCCATTGATGGAGCCATGTAGATTTGTTTGTTCAGCAAAGGGAAATGAAGCCGCGATTTAAATAATCGCGGCTTCATTTAAATTTAAATGGGTGCCGTGCTGAGCCGACGAACAGCTGATCAGCTGTTTGTCGGCTCAGTGCGCTAGTCTGGACGCTCTCGCGCCGACCGGAAAGCCCTTTATCGACCTTCCCGTTATGTCTCGTAGGCTGAGGATTATTTAAATCGCGGTTTCATTTCCCTTCGCCGATCAGCCTAATCTACATGGCTCCGTCGATGGAGCTATGTAGTTTAGATGTACCCATAGAGTTTTCAAGGTCATGCAGAAGTCTTTGAGGCCACGGAGCTTATTAGCCTGTTGTTCTGCAAACAGGATCTTCCAAAAGGGGAGCTCTTGCATTCACTGCTAAACCTCCGAGAGACCAGATGAGCAGCCAAGAAGCACAGCCACCAAGGCCATGGTTCATGGTTTCGTGCCCACAACATCCAATGCTGCCTAGAGTCACACTGTCTGCAGCTGAGCCCTCGTCCATGTTTGCTTTGAAGTCCTTCCTTGTGCCTCAGGAAGGGAGTTCTCAAAATTTGGCCATGGCCTGTCACATTAAAATCACCGCACATGAGGAGGGCCTGATGGTTGGCCACCCTCAACTGTAGGCTAGAGGACAACTTTACAGGTGAAGAAGTCTAGCCTCTTTGACTCTTATTCTTAGGGGTAAACCCTGGGTAAGCTTGTCTTTTCCTGTGCCTCAGTCACTAGGGAATTGGGAATGAGGTGGGTGCAGAACCAGAAACCAGTCAATGGGAATATGGAGCTGGTGCTTAGCTCGTGCACAGAGCTCCAAGTCCCCCCGCTCCCTCCACCCTCAGAGCCAAGGCTGCTGCCTTATATTTCCCTGCTGGTCCCAGCACAGAGTTGCCCTGACTGCAGCAGCTCCATGCTGAGGTTGATGGGGAGGAACCACTCTCTCCTAGCTGTGACAGCTTTGTGAGAGTTCACATTCCCTGCTGCAGCTCCAAAAGCCCCTGTGCAAGGCTTAATAACCAGTGTGCAGGGCTTATAGGACATCGAAAGAACTTGGTTGCCTACTCACTAATCTCAAGAGATGCATCCTCCTTACAGGACTCTGTGACTTAAAAATATTTTCCACATAATTTACATTTCCTTTTTAAAAGATAGCCTGGACCTTATGGTTAAAGTGCTTTGAAATGTGAACCAAAGGTAAACTGAATTAACAGACAGATCACTTCAGACAATGGGGCAGTGCCTTTGCTTCTATGCATGTCTTTGGCCAAGCATTAATAGAAGAAATTGACTAGAATATCGTTATCTCCCAGCAGTGCAAGTCAGAAGTCTGGCAGTTAATCTGAAGAGAACCACAACATTTACTTTACTAGTTGGGAAGCAAAAAGCTAACCACAGTTGGGCATATAGTTTTAGCCAATTTATTTTTCCTTTCAACAAAAAAGGCAGATTTGGGTTGACAAATATTTTAGTAATCTATTTTGCTGAATTATTTCAGATGAAACAAACTGAACTTTTGAAATGTCAAAATTAATTTTTTTTTTTAAGTAGACTCCTAGGCAAATGTAAGTATCGCTCACAAAACCAGTGGTAGTAATAAAGAATGTTAGATAGCGTATAATTAAATAGTCGTGTAACTGCATCTAATTTTGGCAGTTACATGATTATGCGATAGCTCCCCACAGGAGGGGCCACTAGCTAGTGTGCGCCTGGCCCCACTTGCAGGGAGCCCCTTGGTAGATCTCATTGCTGCCTCTCTGAGGAGGTAAGTAGTGGGGGTAGCAGGCGGGAGCCGGTTTGCAAGGGAAGCCAGTTAAAGAACTGTCTTAAACAGCTCCCCATGCATATCGGCTCCCTCCTGCCCCCCTTCACCCTCTGCGCTGCTGCCTCTGATAGAGGTGCAGCAGCATGAGGGGTAGGGGATGGAGAGGCTTCAGGTGGCTTTGTGGGATCCAGTGCTTGTGGGGAGCCAGCTAAAAAGCCAGCTCCTCAGAGGCACTGGTTCCTGCCCTCCCCTTGCTGCCTCTGATACAGAGGCAGTAAGTGGGGGCGGGCAGGAGGAGAAGATTGCGTGTAGTCGACAGGATTAACCGATAAACTCAGGCTCTTTGGCTAATCATGTTGTTGTCTATATATTGACATCCCTACTGGTGCAGATTGAACCTCCGAAATCCGGCATTCTCTGGTCCTGCAACGGATCACATATGTTGATAGATCAGAGAGCCCCAGCACGCACGAGTGGAAACCCGATCTCTGGGGAGCGCCAGCTAGGCAGGGCAGCAACAGGACCTGTGAGCCCTGTCCCTGGCAGGATCCCTGATCGGGCAGGGGAGAAATGAGGTCAGAGAGGCTGGGGAGCTAGCAGTGGGACTGGCGAACGGCGAGAGAGAGGCAGCTGGCAGGCCCCATCCCCAGGGAGCCCCAGCCAGTAGGGAAGCAGCAGGACAGGCAAGCCCCACCCCAGAAAGGGATCCCTGGTTGGGCAGGGAAGAAGAGGGGCCACAAAGGCTGGGGAGCCCCAACAGGCCAGAGCCCAAGTCCAAGCCCTGCAGGATGGAGCTCAGAGGCAGTGGGGCCAGAGTAGAGTCAACAGCAGCGAGAGGAAGTGTCCCCTTGGAGGCCAGTGGCAGGGATGGGCCAGGTGTCCAGGGTGCTGGACAAGGGAGGGCCAACCAGTAGTGCTGCAGCACTGCCCCTCTTAATTTTAGCCCCCACACCTGCAATATGGATGATTCAGGTTCAACCTCCTGCTTAGAAGCAGGGACTTTAAACCAGAACTCTCCCGATTTCTGCACCCTCACCTCCCTACTGACAAAGAGTGGAGTACCTTAGTCAGCTGGCTATAGAAGATTCTGGGAAGGTTTTCTTTCATCTTCTATTGAAGCTGTTCCACTCGGTATACAGAAATATTTTCTTGCATAGGAATTGGAACTCAGGTTTTCCCATCCCGAGTGACCTAGCCACCTGATTCTATAATCACACTCTTCCTCTGCTCCAGTCACTACTGAAGTCTTTATGCAAGGTGACATGTCTGCAACAGGAGAGATCAAAAGACTCACCCTAAAACAGGCAACAGCCCAGAGGTCAAGGTGCTCACTTGTAAGATGGAGACTTGGGCTCAAGTCCCAACTTCAGAGCAGAGATTCCAACCTGGGTTTCTCTCCTGTCACCCTTGCTGAGTGCCCTATTCACTGGGCTAGAGGTTATATGGGGGGCACCACAGATACCAGTTTTTAACTTAACGTTACCATTGCCCTTGGTCTGAAAAAAAAAATTCAAAAATGCCCCAAAACAAAATATTTTATTCGACTTAACTGATTTTATTTTTCTGATCCACCCTTCATTTTTTTAAATCCATTTCAATTGAGCCTGGACTTTTTTTTTAAATTTTAATTTTCAGAACTCCCAGAGAATGAAAGATAAAATAAATTATTTTCCCAACTCAAAAACCATGGCACAGGAGCTATTCAGAGGAAAGGAAGTCTAAAAAAGCCTAGGGATGGGATACAGTAGCCATATGGCTATGAAAATGCAGAAAGTGTGTATGTGTGTAGGGGGGAGATGCTTCTTTTTCAGTGGCTAGAACTGAGAAGGTGATGAAAAGTTTTCACAAGACCCAGGTTAATATGAAAATCTAAGGCCCTTCCACAGCAATATCACCTTGGGAGAAACTCAATCAGCTGGGGAAATAACTGGACTGTACACTTTTGTACTGTCTCTAGGAAGTAGCCTTATATGAATTGTGACACAAAATGAACACATTATAAAACTAGTGATCTCATTCAATACAGATGAGAATTACAGGGATATCTAAAAAGATGTTTCAATTCCATTACTGCAGCATTTCCCAAATTGTGGTCCGTGGCCCGGTACCGGTCCATGGAAAAAATAATTCCGAGCCTCAGAAAAATTTTTGCAAGAGAGCCTGCCTTGCTACCCTCAACCTCCAAGATGCAAACTGCGCTGATGTTACCTCCCTCCTGGGACCACATAGTGCAGGCCTCCTGCGGGGTCAGGGGGCAGTTCTGCAGCAGCGTGCAAGGTCCCGGAAGTGCGCAGGCTGCTCTCCCCATTGCCCCAACAGCAGACACGGTACCTAAAATGCCAGTCCATCGCACACTGGGGACTTTTTCCCTTGCTGCCTTCCTGCATGCAGGGGAGTGGGTGGGGATCTGGGACTGCACCGGCTCCGGCTGCTCGGGTGGCGCATGCTGCCGTGGGGAGCAGAGGAGCAAGATGAGCGCTGCCCAAGCGGTTGAGGCTGACAGGACTCCCCCTCCCCCCGCGCAGGAAAGCATCAGGCGTGCAACGGACCAGCATGTCAGGTACCACGTTGCTGTATGGGGGCCGGGGGAGCAGCCTGTGCACTTCCTGGGCCTTGGCAGATACAGGATCCCCAGGTATCGGTCCCTGTCCCCTTCCCCTCTCTCCAGACCTCCACAAGCACCCTGTCCCGTCCCAGAACTCATTGGCACCCTTCCCCAGAACTCTGTCCCAGCACACACAAGCACCGCTGGGGCCACATTAGTGAAGTTTGAGGGGTTTGGAGAGGTTGTGTTTTTGTATCTCACTTGTGTAGCCGCAACTGACTTTTCTAGGAGCTAAAGTTGGCACTGGGGGCTTTGGGAGGACCAGAAACAATTTATTTGCATATTCATCATTTGCTTAATGAATATGCAAATAAATGTTACCAGTCCTCCAAAACCTCGTGAATGGATTTACTGGTCCCCAGTGTCAAAAAGTTTGGGAACTCCTGCATTACTGAACCAGAACGTCAAGTATTTTTTTTTCAAAACAAATCTCACAAACAAAACAAGGTTTAATATAGTTCTTTTGCAGATTTTTAATGTACTGACATATGAAAACAGCAATTTGGGTTCACTGGAAATAGATTTTTCAAGTTTACCATAAAAATGAAAACTAAACTGTTCTTTCACCATCATCTTACAAGCTGTTTTAAGATTCCTGAGCTTCAGTTTTAGAAGCAAAATGTTATAAAAATTATTTAATTAGATAAATTGCATCACTGAATCTTAACATTGCAAGTAAAAATAATTTAGCAAGAAGGTCCCCCCCCCCTTTTTAAAAAACACCCCATCTGTATGCACTTGAAACATAAATGTAACTATTTCCATACAACTTTAAATAATTAGAAATGGCCATTTCTGAACATTTCCTGGTGTTCTAAAAGCATAACAGTGCACCTACTCTGAAATGGACAGGAATTCTGAAATATATAAGCGGCATTAGATGTCATGATTATTTGGGCCTTGTGGTTTTCCACAAAGTAAACACACTTCAAAAAATAATGGAAGCATTGCAGCATAGTTTAAAAGATTTTCTGTAAATATGGTCACTTCCAAATTTCATACAAAAATACTGCCTCCTGGCTCAATTAGCAAAAATTCTGCTTTGCTGCATGTTTTTTCATAGAGTTCCTAAGTAAAGATTTGTAGTCAAATATTTTGTACACAATTGCTTGCCAAGATTAAAATCCTAATAACTGGCACCTATATATCTTGTAATTCAGAGAATGTTGTGATTGCAGACATTAGAAACTAAATGATCTAATACAGTGTTTCTCAAAGGGTCACTCTGTTTCCCACGGCTCCTCTTGGCTGCAAAGGGCAAGCCGCAGCCAATGCAAGTCTCGGGGCTCCATGGCTGCGGAGCCAGTAAGTAAACAAACCGGAGGGGCCCGGTAGCAGCTCTCTCAGAGTGGGTCTGTGGACCACTTTGAGAAACACTGATCTAATCAAAAACTTTTGAAAATAGAAACTAATGAAAACCAAGTTATGTTGGTTATTAGCATTGAGGAAACTCAAGCACATATGATTTTATCTACATTGTTGTAATGTAAAAAAAAAGAGACAAAACGTATCACAAAGAAACATCAAAATCTAGTTATCCATATCTTGGGTCCATGAACTAGATTCAAGTTAAATAATTCACCAAACAGCAACTTCATTTTTTCTTCTAGTCAGATGAGATCTACTTCAGAACTTTCTGGCCCTGATCTGTCCCATTCTAGCCCTTTTTAAAGGTTAATTACTCGATTACCTACTTCAAGGACTTCTTTGCTTAGCCAGTGACTTTTTTCGGTGCTTTCGTTTCTTGCCCAAGTTTTTGTGACCATGACTTCTCTCTTTTTTATCTTGTCTACTCTCACTACTGAAGGCTCGCTTATGCTGGGTGTGATCTGGGCTCAAGCTTTTTCTGTGAGGGCTGTGACTTTTGCTAGAGTATTTATGGAGTCTTTTTTCTTTCCTATACTTTTCATCTTGACTACTCGAGTCCCTTCTGTGTTTGCTCTTTTCCTTTTTATCTATGCTGTTATCAATACTTGTGTCACTATGTGAATGGCTCCTCCCCTTAGTTGGCTCTCTGTTACACTTGCCTTGCTCTGAAGATACGTCTTTCTTGCATGCATTCTGGTCATAACTTGATGTATTCTTGTGTTGCTGACTATTGGCAGGAATACAAGAGAGCACACCTGAACTCCTTTTATCAGACAAGCTTTCAGTGCTATTGAAATTAAGTTTCTTGCTTTCCTTAATATTAGCTTCCTTGTGAATGTTTCCATTTAAATACTTGGATTGAGAGTTCACACTTTCATTGGCCATTACTTCCGTCTGATCGACCTGACTTGGTTTACCCATAATGGACTGTAGCGAAGTAGATGTTATAGAGCTGGATGACACAATCTGTGGAACACCTGCAACAGTTTTCAACAGGCCAGACTGACACACCTTAGTTGCCTCCTTACTCTGTTGTGTGTACTCTGTTTTCTTGCTAAGGAGATTGCTTAATAGCTTCTCCCTTAGCATCTTCTCTTTTCTTTGAAGTCCAAGTGCTCTCTCTTTTTCCTCCTCTACACGTCTGAGTTCAGCCTCTTGAAGCCTTCGTCTCTCCTCCAGCTCCTGAAGACGGACTTTTTGTTCATTATGTTCCTGTTCCAGAAGCTTTACTGCCTGCAAGACATTAAGGGGAAGGGAGAAAACGGATGACAAAGGTGGTGTTTCCCAAAAATCTCTGTTAAAAAGGAATCAGATTTTTTCATATACATTGGAAGCCTGTAATAAAAAAAAATACCATTTTTAAAAAATGTACAGAACTCTGCTCACTAAGGATAAAGCTGAAATGAAAAAGCAGCCAGCTCAGTTTAAATAACTGGTAACAGGACTTGATACTTCAAGTCTCCAAGTTACTAGTCAGAATCCACAATATGAGCAAAAAATCACTTTTATCTAACAACTATTCAGGGCTCTATATCAAATGAGCTCAGTCCAATTCCTAATGGATATGCCACTTCCTGCAGCTCCCTTTGTCTGGAAATGGCAAACTGCAGCCAATAGAGTTGCAAGACCCAGTAGCTACAAACACTTTGTTTATCTAAAGTGGTGCAGGTCTGCTAGCCCATTACCAGGTGGGCTTGTAGCCCACTTGGAGAAATATTGCCGTAGACTCAGATATGAATTAATACAATCTCACCCTCACTGTCAGCGGGTAACAAATATTAGTATTTTTGTAGTATTGTTTCACACACTTTTTCAAAGTACTCTTCAAACGTCAGCAAATGAAACACCAATAATCCTCATTTAGTAAATGGGAAAGAGAGCTCAAGGCCACAAGTGGCAAAGCCAGAATTAAAACTTGGAATCCTTTTGTCTTTCTCCAGGCTGTCTTCTCTATACCAGGTTTTCTGCACATTTGTTTTTGGCATCGCAATGTAGTGGGCAGGCCTCTTTTCTGAACTGAAGCATAATGTTATTCAGGTCAATAATTTCAATGTCTCCTTTTACTCCATCAATGCCTTGCTAGGAAACAGATACCGAGGCAAACATCCTATGGCTTCAAAGCATGCTCTTTATGAGTTGACAATCCATAATGTTCAGAGGACGAACTTTTGCCACAAATGACGGCAAAGTGGCTTATGAACACACAAGTCAGTTAAAACTTTACTCTACCAGTTTTAATTTTTGTTAACTCTTGAAATAATATGAAAAAGACAGCTTTTCAAAAGTTACCTTTGCTCTGCTGAGAAGTTCTGCAATTAGTCTAATGGACTGAAGATTTCTTTGAGCTAACAGGAGCTTCCTCTCCTCTAGTCTTATTTTCTCTTGCAGTTTTTTTTGCTCTTCTGCTTGCATTTTTTCCAGTTTCTTTTTGTTTCTACGAACTTCACGATCTTTCTGTTTCTGTTCTCTTTTGCGTAACTTCTCTTCTCTTTTTCTTTCTCTCTCAAGTTCTTCAAGTTCCTTCTGTTTCCTAATAGCAATTAATTTGTACATTAGCCATAACAGGAACAATTTTAGACTTTGCCTTGTATTACAATTTAAGTTAAAAATACAAGTTTTGGTTTTTTTCCACCCCTATAAAGAAATCTTGATTACTGACAAGACAGAAATAGGAAACATCACATATGCATTCAGTGAACATTTTTAAGCAGTTTCCTTCCCATAGAAAACTAAACTGATATCAGATATACAGTTCTAGGGATAAGCAGAAATGTGAACGACATGTTTTTGTCGGTTCCTAAAAAGCCCACAGAACATTTTACTAATCAAATTTAAAACACAGACATCTTGAATCTGATGACCGAGCAATCCATAGTGCGGGGGGCGAGGGAGCAGAGACACAAAACCCACACAACCTTTGAGCGGTTTCAATTTAAAAAATTACATATAGTGGCAAAGGTCGAGATTGTCAAGAGAATACGTGCTGAAACAGTGGCATGATATTTCAGAAATACTAAGCAGTCAATAGCTTCCACTGAAGAATTCCACTTTAACCACAAAAGTAAATGGGTCTAAATAACCAAGTTCTTTACTGAGGCAAAATTTCTATTGAAATCAATAGTTTTGCTTTATTAAGGAGCAAAGAACAGTGCTCTTGAAGAGTTATCTTTCTAAATGATGACAGAGCGGATAAAAATCAATGATAAAAAAAATAAAAATCAGTTTTTATTTAAATCAAATTTTTTTCATAAAATATTTTGAGGGAAAAAATTATGTAAAGATGGCTTTAATTAAGATACATCATAGCCCAAATATCTCTCATCATGGAACAGGGATTATAAACTCTTAATTCTTATTCACTGCAATGTTTAAGAAAAGTTTTGTAAATAAGTTCCAATAGTTCATGGATTAGGGACCCAATTTTATGGCGTTCCTGAGATTTAGGTTAATCTTTCTAATTTCCCCAATGGAACTCAGCGTTCAGACTAGAAGATACCATTAGAGATGCTTATTTTTGCAGTTCTCAAACTGTGGACTTGCATCTCCAAAGCTAACAAGTTTGTTAACAGCAAAAATGTTTTATAAGAAATAAATAATATGTAGACGTGAGAAACAGACCTCAACCCTATTGTCCCTCTGCAATTTGCGTAGACAGAGTGAATCCCTTACCTCTCTAAAAGGGCAAAGTTTCAAAATGTTCAATGAATAGAAGCCAATATTTTAAGTTTCTCATGTTGACCTGCTTGAGTCAATTTAAATTTTCATTTAACAAAATATATATTTAACTATTTTAGTTGAAAACATTTTTAAAAAACCATGAGTTTAAATTAAAAAAAAAAAATCATGCATACAAAAATATTGTGTGTGTGCTATTGAAGAAAAAAATCCAGAACACAACGTTTAGTTAAATAAAACAATTTAAATATCTGTCTGGTGATGTTCTTCTCCTAATACAACATGGAAATAAAATCCTTCAAATATTAATGATTAACCTGTTGAATTGGGGATATTTATGAAGTCACTGGGAAGTTAACTATATGCTTCAGTTTCCTTTGGTAAATGAAATAACCAATCATTCATTTTCAGGTCTAGTTGAAAAATTAATCTAAAAAGATTTAAAAATAAATTACTGTTTAAAGATGTATTGGGTGTACCTTCTAAAAATAAAATCTATATCCATCTCTGAGTTGTGAAGAATATGTACTGAGGTTATGACAATCAACAAGAACGTACTTTCATATAAATAACCATGATTACATTTAGTCTTCCTGACTAGTCATTTAAATCAATTTTATTTAAATCAAATCCACCCTGAAATCAAAGATCCCTGATTCATGGACTTCACCTTCCTTAACATGATTTTCTACCTCTGGTTTATATTCTATATATATTTGGCATCTCTGAGATATTGTCTGTATACACGCATCTTTTTCCAAATAACATACTGTATTCTAAAACTTATTAGGGATGTTAGATAGCATGTAACTGAATAGTTCAGTAACCGCATAAAATTTTAGCGGTTACACAACTATTCTATAGTAGCCAGTGTGCTCCCACAGCCCCACTCCAGGGGAGTCTCCTGTCACTCCACGCTGCTGCCTCTCTATGGGAGGCAGCAGCGCGGGGTAGAAGGCAAGAGCCAGTCCGCAAGGGAAATCAGTTTAAAAAGAGGCTCCCCGCACAAACTGGCTCCCACCTGCCGCCCCTCAAGCTACTGTCTCTGATACAGAGGGAGAAGCACAGGATGGCAGCAGCCCGTCTGCAGCTTCATGGAAGCCTTCCCTGTTCCCCTGTGCTGCTGCCTGTGTTAGACTGTGGAGCCAGCAAGAGAGGGACAAGGGGAGGCATGTCTGTGGAGCCACCAAGCATGGTGAGCCAGATTAAAAGCAGCATGAGGGTGAGGTAGCAGCAGGGGCTGGAGGAGGATGCCTGTGGTCAACAGCTAGCTTACTTTAGTTTGTGTCTTACACAGCCTCAATCCTCCTCTCTCAGAACTAATGCACAGCTGTCATTTTGTTCAGATGTCTTCTAGGAAAAATGGCAGCACAACCAATGGGGCTTAGAGAAATGATTGCTTATAGCACTGACACACAAAACCCACCGCAAATGAAACTTTGCTGGTGGCCTGATATGCATTAAGGGCTGGACTGAGCATGGAAACTGAACTACTCTAATCCTAGAGGTGGTCCCTCCACATCAGAGCGGAGGCATCTTGGTGTGATGATGTGAGGCAGCTTGCTTATGCTATACTTTACTGTAGATAGAAAACTTAAGTCCTCAGTGCTGTCAGTCTAGAACAGGGTGTCCAAACTTTTTTCAAAGAGGGCCAGATTTGATGAAGTGAACATGCATGAGGGCCGACCATTTTGCCTGACATTCTTTGAACCATTAAAATTAAATGCAAATTAACTATTTTATGCAACGTTTATTGCAAACGGCATACTTTTCATTTTGTCACATGGATGACAAATCTAAACAGGTGTTAAATCACTCTGCCTTTCATATCTGAAGGCCAGATGAAAAAAAAAAATCCAGGAAGCTGAAATATATGTCAGGAACATTGTAAAGTACATTACATATTATTGGTAATAAAGGTTGTCTGTCAACTTTTAAGTTCAAAAAATATGAACAGGAACATATAACACCAAGTATACATGTTGTGTCCAAATATATTTATAACTGATTTAGACCAACTGACATTAACTGAGATTTTACAATGTATTCATCTCAATACATATGGATTCGTTGGGGGCCATAAAAGATAGATATTGCCAAATTACCTGGGGGGCCGTATTAAACCGGAACACGGGCCGCAATTGGCCCGCGGGCCGGACTTTGGACATGCCTGGTCTAGAACAACCAGCACTAATCTCACTTTAAAAAAAAAAAAAAAAAAAAGAGAGAAAATTGTATATCACATATGTATAAAACTCACGATATGTCGTCATTCACAACCAACAGATTTCTGTGAAGTTTGCTTTGTCAGAACAGTTCATTTGCTTTCTAAAACAAACTGTTGGTAATGGGAAACAAAGAAAATCACAGCTTCTATCATCTTGTTTGTAAAGAATCTCAAAGCAGGGAAAGTAAGTGGTTTACATGCCCAACACATGCCAAGGAAGTAATTTCCACTCTGTGTAAGACTGCAGCAATACAGTTTATAAACAGACATGCACAAAAGAAGTTTAACGAATTACAGTAGACTTCAGATAATCTGGCATCTTTGGGACCGAGGTGGTACCGGATTATCAGATATGCCGGAGTACCAGGAGGTACTTTAAGGGGGCATACTCCCAACCCAATCTCCCTCTCCTCCCCTCCCCTAGAGCCAAACACAGCCCCTTCCTGCTGTAACCCAGTCCCTCTTCTCCCCCAACCTTATTTCTGGGTCCTGAAGCAGCTGCCTGTGCTCAGCGGCCGGCTGCTAGCACTTGCAGGCTGGACGCTGTGTGCTCTGGGGATTGTGAGCGGAACGGCACGCGCATGCGTGCAGCTCACAGCAGCCCGGCCATGAGAGCGACTGACTGGAGCACTTCCGGGTCCCAATTGGTGCTGGACTATTGGGAGTGCCGAATCACTGGATCCCGGACAATTGGAGTTTTACGTAACTGGTTCTTGTAATAAACACTGGACAGAAATGTATCTGGCTTACTTTGAAGTGTAGGGATTCTCTGATGGGATTTCCAATGCAAAACATCACTATCTTTGAGAGCAAAAGCTTATATGTCTGTTACCAGCATTGGTATACATTTGATCAAAATTATCCATTTTAATTTACCTTTAAAATAGTCCAAAAACAGTAATTTTGTTCAGAATTATAAGAAATTATAATAACTTTACTAAAATTTCAACTTCAGTGTTTGTCATCCCAGCTCCAGATAACACTGCACAGCATTAAAAATTAAAATCCACAAGTAGAGTAAGGATCTGCCAAATTTTATACCAGTTGCATATACATTTACAGGCGAACTGGTCTCAAAACCAAAGATTTCCAAATATAACTAACGCTTGAAACAGCTACAAAATTCCTTTTATTACTCGGGTATTTCTAAATTAGAAGAGCATTTAGAATCTGATTTGTTCACATCACTAATGTGTGTGATCAAAATACTTTTGATAATAGAGTTGAAAAATAAAGGGCTCTTATGGTTGGAGAATTCTGTGAATTACATGAAAAATCTACAGCGAAAAAGTAGGATTCTGGTTTAGATGACCGATTAATTAAGGCTAAGAAAATACCAAATTTAAACCATTCAGTATCCTCATTGAATTAGTCAAATATTTTTTAACTGATTGCTTACGCTAATTTTAACGCAAGCTTGGATTTTTGTTTCTATGGGTATGCCTAGACTACAGGCTTTTGTTGACAGAAGTTTTGTCAACAGATACTGTCGACAAAGCTTCTGTCGACAAAGAGCATCTAAACGACATCCAGTTCTATTGACAAAACAAGCTGCTTTGGAGGTGCTGCACTATATGTAAGAGAGCACTATGATTGCTCTCAACTCCAGTATAAAGAGGGAGAAAAACCTGTTGAGAGTCTATGAGTTAAGTTTAAAGGAGAAAACAACAGCAGTGATGTTGTGGTTGATGTCTGCTACAGGCCACCGAATCAGGTTGACGAGGCAGATGAGGCTTTCTTCGGACAACTGAGAGAAGCTTCCAGATCGCAGGCCCTGGTTCTCGTGGGGTACTTTAATCACCCTGACATCTGTTGGAAAAATCAATACGGCAGTACACAGGCAATGCAGGACGTTTTTGGAGAATGTTGGGGATAACTTCTTGACACAAACGCTGAAGGATCCGACCAGGGGCTGTGCGCAGCTGGACCTTCTGCTCACAAATAGAGAGGAACTAATAGGGGAAGTAGAGGTAGGTGACAACCTGGGAAGCAGTGATCAGGAGATGGTAGATTTCAGGATCCTGACCAAAGGAAGAAAAGAGTAGTAAAATACACACCTTGGACTTCAAAAAAGCAGATTTTGACTCCCTCAGAGATCTGATGGGCAGAATCCCCTGGGATGCTAACATGAACGGGAAAAGAGTCCAGGACAGCTGGCAGTATTTTAAAGAAGCCTTATTGAAGACACAGAAAGAAACCATCCCAATGCATAGCAAGAGAGGCAAACATGGTAGGAGACCGGATTGGCTTACAGGGGAAATCCTTGGTGATCTTAAGCACAAAAAGGAAGCTTACAAAAATTGGAAACTTGGACAAATGACCAGGGAGGGATTTAAATGTATAGCTCGAGAATGCCGGGGGGTTATCAGGAAGGCGAAAGCGCAAATGGAATTGCGACTGGCTAAGGATGTGAAGGATAACAAGAAAGGTTTCTACAGGCATGTTAACAAGAAGAAGGTGATCAGAGAGGGTGTGCGGCCCCTACTGGATGAAGGAGGTAACCTAGTGACAGATGATGTGGGGAAAGCTGAAGTACTCAATGCTTTCTTTGCCTCTGTATTCATGGACAAGGTGGGCTCCCGGACTAATGCGCTAAGTGACGCAAGATGGGATGAAGATGGACAGCCCGTGGTGGGTAAAGAACAGGTTAGGAACTATTTAGAAAAGCTAAATGTACACAAATCCATGGGTCCGGACTGAATGCACCCGAGGGTACTGAGGGAGTTGGCAAATGTCATTGTGGAGCCTTTGGCCATTATCTTTGAAAAGTCATGGAGATTGGGAGAAATCCCAGATGATTGGAAAAAGGCAAATGTAGCACCCATCGTCAAAAATCGGAAGGACAATCCAGGGAACTATAGGCCGGTCAGTCTTACCTCGGTTCCTGGAAAAATCATGGAAGGAATTCTTAAGGAATCCATTTTGAAGTACTTGGAAGAGAGGAAAGTGATTAGGAATAGTCAGCCTGGATTCACAAAGGGCAAGTCGTGCCTCACCAATCTGATTAGATTCTATGATGAGGTAACTGGCTCTGTGACATGGGGAAGTCAGTGGATGTTATATACCTTGACTTTAGCAAGGCTTTTGATACGGTCTACCACAATATTCTTGCCAGCAACTTAAGGGAATGTGGATTGGATAAATGAACGGTAAGATGGCTAGAGAGATGGCTAGAAGGTCGGGCCCAGCAGGTAGCGATCAACGGCTTGATGTCAGGATGGTGGTCAGTTTCTAGCGGAGTGCCCCAAGGTTCGGTTCTAGGACCGGTTTTGTTCAATATCTTTATTAATGACCTGGATGAGGGGATGGATTGCACCCTCAGCAAGTTTGTGGATGACACTAAGCATGGGGAAGAGGTAGATACGCTTGAGGGCAGAGGTAGGGTCCAGAGTGACTTAGACAAATTGGAGGATTTGGCCACAAGAAATCTGATGAGGTTCAACAAGGACAAGTGTAGAGTCCTGCACTTGGGACGGAAGAATCCCAAGCACAGTTACAAGCTGGGGACCAACCAGTTAAGTAGTAGTTCTGCAGAAAAGGACCTGGGGGTTACAGTGGATGAGAAGCTGGATATGAGTCAACAGTGCGCCCTTGTAGCCAAGAAGGCTAATGGCATATTAGGTTGCATTAAGAGGAACATTGCCAGCAGATCCAGAGATGTCATTATTTCCCTTTATTCGGCTTTGGTGAGGCCACATCTGGAGTATTGTGTCCAGTTCTGGGCCCCCCACTACAAAAAGGATGTGGACGCACTGGAGAGGGTCCAGCGGAGGGCAACCAAAATGATTAGGGGGCTGGTGCATATGGCTTATGAGGTTGGGTCTGTTTAGTCTGCAGAAGCGAAGAGTGAGGGGGGATTTGATAGCAGCCTTCAATTTCCTAAAGGGAGGTTCCAAAGAGGATGGAGAGAGGCTGTTCTCAGCAGTCACAGATGGCAGAACAAGGAGCAATGGTCTCAAGTTGTGGTGGGAGGTGTCCAGGTTGGATATTAGGAAAAACTATTTCACTTGGAGGGTGGTGAAGCACTGGAATGGGCTGCCTTGGGAAGTAGTGGAGTCTCCATCCCTAGAGGTGTTTAAGTCTCAGCTTGACAAAGCCCTGGCTGGGTTGATTTAGTTGGGATTGGTCCTGCCTAGAGCAAAGGGCTGGACTTGATGACCTTCTGAGGTCTCTTCCAGCTCTATGGTTCTATGTGTCTACACTGTCATGTCGACACAAAGGACAGTGTAGATACAATAACGCCTTCCGTCGACAGAATTCTGGTCGACAAAAGGCATTACTACTCATAGAATGAGGTTTACAGCCGTCTCAAAACTGCTGAGTTCTGTCAACATTATGTCAACAGAACTCCGTGGCAGTGTAGACGCAGGTATAGTTTTGTTGACAAAAGTCCACCTTTGTCGACAAAACCCTGTAGTCTAGAAACACCCTATATGTGGAAAGATTTTGCCCATAAATAAAGTGCTCCTGGGTTCATGCATCATGAGAAACAGCAGTATAGTAAAACTTCCGAGTTATAAACACCATGGCAATGGATGAGGTTTTAACACTGTTCTGAGTTACAAACATTTCAATCATATTTTGTTCAATCAGAAGTTTACAACTGAATATTAACTTAATACAGCTTTGAAACCTTACTACGCAGACAAAAACCCATTAGCTGGCCTTTACTTTTTACCAGTTTCTCTCAGTACTGTTGTGTATTTGCTTTTTTTTGTCTCTTGCTGCCTGAATGAATATTGCTAATTCCAAATGAGGTGCATAGTTGACTGGTCAGTTCGTAACTCTTGCATTTGTAACTCTGAGGTTCTACTGCATATAAAAGCGAAGTAAGAATATAATCAAATTAAACATTCCTATTTTTTAAATGGAAGAAACATGGAGACAAAAAATTTTAGTTCTGCAAGAGGCAGATTTACTCACGTTGTTCATTCATAAGAGGTGGGAAATGCAGTTTTATTGTATTTTATTATTAAAATTTAAAAAATTAGATACAAGTCAGATTTACCTTTCTTGCTCCTTTTTTTTCTCTTCTGCTTCTTTTTCTCTCCGTTTTTGTTCTTCTCTTTGTTGTTCAAGTTCTTGAAGCTTTAGCCGTTCGAGCTGACGTTTCTTAATTGATGCATCACTCAGGTGTTTTGTTGAATCAAAAGAAACCTTTACAGAGCACAGTTGAGAAATAATGGAGTTCAAGAGGTCAAAACCAGTTATAATCCATTACATTTAAGTATCAGATTTGCTTTCACTTCACTCTGAAAACAAAGATTAGGGAACTTCTAGATTTTTTCTGCTTGTTCTTGCAAGTTTTGTCATGTGAGAAAAAGTAAAAATGTTTTACTTCGAATCCAGAGATTCATCCAACAAGAAATGCATACTTAGTTTAATGTGTAGCTCCAATACATTTGAATATTTTCCCTAAACCTTAAGGCATACTTTCTAAATTGACTGACTTTCTTTTGGTATCAAAGCCTCTTTTTGAGTCAATTATCAAATAATAAGTGTATGGCTCCCGACTTAAAACATGTCAAGGCAAATCTTGCTTATCCAAATTGAAAGAGAAAAAACTAAATTTTCTTGTGCTCCAAAATGTTTTATCTGAAATTTAATATATCCATATTTTCTATTCAAGAGTAGCACTGATATCTGTGATTTGAAAATGTGATTTCTAAACCCTGTATTTTGTGAGGTTAGCCTAAAATAGTAAATTTGGGTACTTCTGCACAACTTTCATTATTAAATTATCTTACAAACAACATCAATCCCCTATATTTTCAAGATAAGGGAATATTACAACTCATTATATTGCAATAAATTGATGCTTAAAACACTAGCCCATGTCTCCCTGGACATTATACTACCATGACATCTCTTATCTGATATTGTGGCCTATCAAATGTTTTAATAGCTTGGCTATTCTAATTAATGAGTAGTGACGGATACAAAAATGAAAGCCTTTTAAAGAGACAGAAGCATTAAGATGGAAACATGTGCCAGATTTTCAAGTGCCATGGAATTATATTAAGAATTTTTCCAAGTACAATTAAAAATGAGTTGTGATCTCACAATGCATCATATTTATCAAATTTTGCTTATAGTTGCTAAAATATAGGGTGTGGCCACTAAGTTGATGAAGATCCTAATGGGAGCAGGAAAGAATCCACTGATTGTCCTTAATATGAGAACAAATGATACTACTGGATTCTTAGTGAAATGCATCGAGAGAGACTAAGACAGGCTGGGGAAGACACTTAAAGAATGGAGGCTCTGATGATCTTCAGTAGGATTATATCTGTCCCTACAAAAAGGGAACAAAGGTGAAACAAGATTATGATGATCAACAGATAGCTCAGAAAGTACTATAATGAGGACGTTGGGACGTTCAATCACTGGGAGTCATATACAGACAGATGATTGTTCTCTTGGAATGCCCTTTACCTGAGCAAGCAGTGAAATAAGACTTCTGTGATAGAGGCTGGCAAAACTGATTAGAAGAATTTCAAATTGGGAATTTGAGGGAGATTGTTGGGAGATTCTCATGTAATTCTAATACTGAGCAGGAGAAAAATCAAGAAAGAATTTATAGCAATGGAAAAGAGGGTAGGAAAACAGTAGGAATGTTATAGGATAACGGTCTATATGTTTAACCCATAAGCCTGGGCTTATTGGTTACCGTGAACCATTACACATAGGCTCCCGCCCCCCACTTTAATGGCATCTGGCTTTCTGGAAGCAGGGCAGGCAGGCAAGAGCCAGTACACATAAAAGCTGTCTCCTGGCATGCACTGGATCCCTGAGAACTGGCTGCCACCCTAGAGTTGCTGCCTCTGATATAATACTGTGAGACGCCCCATGGGATGCAGCCTGGTGAGGGGGCGTGCCAGGATGTGGGCTGGCGAGGGGGTGGTGGTTTGGTAACCTGCCAGGAGGCGGAGATGGCAGGGGTGATGGGAGCCGGGGTGAGGCTGAGCTAAAGGGGGGAGGGGGGAGGAGCCACGGGGGAGGGGAGATGCAGCCTGGAGAGGGGGAGCAGCCTGGCTAAGGGGACAGAGAAGCTGACCTGGCGGTGAGTGGCCTGCCGGGAGGGCCGTGAGCCGCATGGCATGGAGACCGGCAGGTCCATGTGTAGGAGGCGGCAGGGGCAGCCTGCCTCGTTGCTGGCTGGGGGAGAGGGGGAAAGTGCTGGCACAGAAGCAAGCGGAGTTGCCTGCAGAAGCTGGGCAGCCTACTAAGAGCCAGAGCTTGTGGAGGCCGCCCGCCTCGTCGAGCACACCTGCTGCAGGAGCTGGAGGGGATGGCCAGCGCGTGCGCAGGAGGGGCAAAGCACATGTGCAGGAGGGAAAACGTCTGAATTCCCATTACACACACAAGATGACAGTCTAAAAAAATAAATTCTCTTTAATAAATACTACTGAGAGCTGTGGGATTATAGAGGACTTGTTTTCCAGGTATATACTGGAGGACAAATGGTACTAATATAGTAAGGCCCAAATTTCCCTATATATGATAGCTGACAGATTTCTACACTACACAGTAACCAAACTAACAAGCAGTGATGCTAATAATATTGGTATTGGTGAGTAGTGAAAAATTGTTTGAAGTAGTGAAACTTGGTTCAAGTAATCATGAGCTAATTCAGTTTAATGGAAGGCAAACTAGTTGAGCAAGCATTTCAAACAATTAAGAAAAAGCAGGAAACCTATTAGGAAGAGAAGATGGGCTCCAGCAGTAAGGAAAGCTACTGCTTGGAGGCCAAAAAATGTAGTGGAAAAGTGAGAATTGCCAAAATCCAAGCAGTGTTGAACACCGCAAAGGAAATTAAGGCTCAAAAATAAAAGGTTTGATAGCCTTATAAATAAGACAAGGAAAAATAATGGGACCACTAAACACTGAGGGTGGTGTGAAAATTAAAGGTAACATAAGCATTGCCCAAAATTTAAATGAATAATCTGTTTCAATTTTTTAGTAACTGTCATGAAGTTATGGTATAGTGCTATAGAAGCAGAAGTTACCAAATCCAAGGTGAAAAATCAAGCTCAGTTTATTGAGGCTGTTTAAATCAACGAGGCTGGATAATCTACACCTAAGAATATTGAAGGAACTGGCACATGAAATCGCAAGCCCAATGGCAGGAATTTTTAAATAATATGTTAACTCAGGAGTTTTATCCCATGCCTGAAGAATTGCTAGTATAGTGCTAAACCTATTTTTAAGAGAGGAAAAAAAAGTGATGAGGAAAACCACAGACCTGTTAGTTCGACGTGAATTGTATGCAAGGTCTTGGAGCTAATTTTGAAAGACATATAGATGATAATACACAAGGTTTTACAGAAGGTATATTGGGCCTTAAAGGCCAGTGAGTAACAGAAATGGGATTAATGAAACAGTGAAGAGTCAAGCATTTAAGGATTAGCAAAAAAAATGTCTTATAGTTTTGGGATTTATCAGTTGCAAGTGAAAGAGGAGGATAAAAAAACTGGGTGTGTTGATTGATCACGGGATGACTATAAGCTGCCATCAGGATACGGCAGGAAAAAAGGTTGATGCAATCCTAGGATGCAATAGGCAAGGTAATAGAGAAGTGTAAGAATCATCATACAAAACATTAATGAGTCTTTATCCAGAATACTGTGTGCAACTGTAGTCTTCCTCATTTAAAACAGAAAGAATACTAGAATACTAGAACTGAAAGGGACCTCAAGAGGTCATCAAATCCAGTCACCTGCCCTCACAGCAGGACCAAGAACCATCTAGATTGTCCCTCATAGATGTCTATCCAACCTGCTCTTAAATATCTCCAGTTATGGAGTTTCCACAACCTCCCTAGGCAATTTGTTCCAGTGTTTAACTGCCCTGACCGAAAGTTTTTTTCCTAATGTCCAACCTAAATTTCTTTTGCTGCAATTTAAGCCATTGCTTCTTGTCCTATCATCAGAGGGCAAGGAGAACACTTTTTCTCCCTCCTCTTTGTAACACCCCATAGGAACATATGCACAGAGGACTACTAAGATTATACGAATGGAAAAACCCACCGCATGAGTGGAGACTCAAAAAGTTTAGTTAGTTTGGCCTGACCTAATGAATTTGTAGAAAGCATATGATTGCTTTCTACAAATATATCAGAGGAATACCATTTATATATACTCATTAGCCCACTCGTTTATAAGACGATTCCTCCCCCAAGATGAATAGATAAAAATGGAAAACTGCCATGATCCATTCATAAGACAATCCTATATTTCAGTGGCTGGCACCCTACAGCTCCCAATGTCTGCAATTTGCCATTCCTGGCCAACAAGAGAGGTGGGAAGTAGTGGCCAGTACACCCCTCAGCCCACAATGCTTTCTACAGTTCCCATTTGAGGGGAATGATGAAATGCAGCCATTGGGAGCTGAGGGACTTCAGGCCTGAGGACACTCCAGATGCACCAGGAAATTGTGTTTACCAGCAGCCTTCCTTGATGGGTTAGATAATGAAGTTTGCCATCCTCTAATCAAGAATGTGGAAGATCTAGAGGAGATGGGTTAACATTTACAAAACACAACTTTTAAGAATTTAAATGTGGCATTTAGAACACAGACTTGGTTCACATATTTAGCTCCCACACTGTATTATTCCTAGCCTAAGGGCTACGTCAATATTAAAATTTTATTTTGTGCATATTACCACTCCTTCACTATCACACCTTATATCTGAAATTTCACTATGGATATTGCAAGAGACTATTTTTGTGCTGTCACTTCATCAATCTGACCTGATATCCATATAAAATGAGGGTCTAGATGTTAACATATATGGAAAGGACCTTCAACAGTAGTTTTTCCCCTTTAAGATCTATTACAAAATAATTCCACAGTTCCTCACCTTTATATTGCAAGCCACTGCTTTTCCATCATCACCTTTGTACATCAGTTTCATCCCTCGCAGAGCATTCATGGCCTTGATGAAACCTACATACTCGTGATACTGAACATAAGCTTCAAAATTCAAATGTCCTCCAAAACTGAAAGTATGAAAATTTCTTCCAGTCATTTCTTCTCTATATGGATCCAACATGGGTATGTCCACATTACGTATTTCCCCAAATTTATTAAATACTTTTATAAGGACTTCTTCACTTGGTTTTTCTGAGCCAGAGTCCTTCAGTGCAAACCATTTGCAAGGTAACCCCTCTAAGTGAATGGTGTCTGGTCTCTCGCCTGGCAAAGTTTCATTCATATCTTTTGCATCACGGAAGAAAGAGTCCCAGTCATGTCTAGTAGGAAAGTCAATTTTATATTCTGCAGCACGAACTTTTAAAATGTCAGAGAAGCCACTAAGTTTTATTGTTTTGCCATCAAGGCATGCAAGAAAGGACTTAACCAAACTTTTGTTTTCAACCTCTCCTTCAAAACGAATAAAGTCCATGGTACTTTTGGAAATCCGTAGTGTGGAAAACTGATGCGTTTGCACCATTCCTTTTAGTCTTTCCATCACTTCCCAGTTAGAAATGGATTTTCCTGGTTGCTTCAGCTGAGGAAGGGCCACACTAATAGTCATTTTTGTAATGGGTTTAAGATATAAACCATATGTAGAACAGAGCTCTACTGCTTCGGATGTATCATGAACTATGGTAGCAGCAGCCATAGCACAAAAAAAAAAAAAGTATAAAAACAGTAAGGAAAATGTATACTAAGTGAACTTATAGGCCACACTAATTGAGGAACATAGTCCCTATCTGTAAATAACTGACCATTTCTGAGACTTAAATATTACCAAGTAAAGCCACTGATTCTTGGCATGAAAGTTAATTAGGAAATTTAACAGCATTGCCATTATAAACTGTTTTCTAAACATCACAATATAGGAATTCAGTTCCAAGACTTAAATATTAGCCACAAGAATAAAGCCCACAGAGAAATTGAAAAGCTGATGATATGAATAATAAATATGGCTTGATATTCAATGACTCAACCGTTAGTTATGCTTCAGGAGGAAGCATTGTGAAACTCATGTTATCACCTAGTACTAGCATGAGCAGAATAATTGAAGTATTAACCAGAAACAGTTATACTGCAACAGTCCAATCTTGAAGAACTCCATATTCTCAAATAGATGACTTTATTCTGGAAAGAAAGAAAAACAAATTTCCATTTAAAGGGAAAAATTAGCCTTATAACTCTTGCTCAGACCTAAATATATTATACATGATGCAACTTGAAGACAGCGAGAGCCCTTTCCTAGAATGGGAAACAGCAACAGCAAATAGTATTTGATTTACTCAAAACACATTTGTGAATGTTATCTATAGATGTGCTCTACTTGTAAGATAATTTCACAAATAGATAGATTTGCCAGTGATTCACAAATACAACTCTTATCAGTCATAAAATAAACTGAGAAAATGAGAAATCAATAAATGACCAACAAATTCACCTTCCACATACATTCCCCATAAGAAAGTATTTCCATCTATAAAAAGTGAAATTTGCAGTCAGGCAAAAGAAGAAAAACCGTACGCGTGTTTTACAGCTACTTATTGTGTATATTTAGACACAGGATGTTGGTAATTTGCCTTTTAACCAATACAGAAGCTTTAACTTTTTTTTTCCTACGTCCAGTACATAAACATTGTCTGATCCGGCCCCCTCCCCCATCACCCCCGAATTCTGCACAACAGGGCCAGAAACACACGTTTTAAAAGCTCTAGAAGAACCTTGAGCGGCGTCCTTCCCAGGCGGCACCTGGCGCTTCCTTCCCACCTGATTCCGCTGCCCCCTCCCCCGCCACCCACACCCCGGCCCGGGCAGCTCGGATAGAGCCGAGGGGGGTGAGGAGGGCTGAGAACCTCCCCCATCACCCCCGAATTCTGCACAACAGGGCCAGAAACACACGTTTTAAAAGCTCTAGAAGAACCTTGAGCGGCGTCCTTCCCAGGCGGCACCTGGCGCTTCCTTCCCACCTGATTCCGCTGCCCCCTCCCCCGCCACCCACACCCCGGCCCGGGCAGCTCGGATAGAGCCGAGGGGGGTGAGGAGGGCTGAGAATGTTTACGGGGACAAAGGTCACGGCTACCCCCGGGGAGGGCTCTGCGGCCCCCGCCCCACCTTCAACAGAGCCGGGC